GTGGTACTGCCTGGATTTGGAGGTGCTCTCTTGCCCCCTTGTGAGTGGCCTCTTCTCCAGGAAACACCTTGAACTCCCACAGCCACCACCGCTTGTGACCAGTTCCTGCCTTCCACACTTTACCAGTGCCCCACAGGACACATATTAACTGCCAGTGTTCCTCTCCCTGGACAGGCTCCAAAAGCATCCGTGACACTTCCAGCTAGTCTGGCAAGTCCAAAGCACAAAGGCTTGTCCCCTCTCTGACCTGAGGTTTACACCTCTACTGATGTGGGCTGAGTTTCTAGAGAGTTTGAGGGGCCCTATCACATTGCTGTCTCACACGGATCCATTTTCAAAAAAGATGCTCTGACTCCCTCTCACAGGGTGTGTGAACCCTCCAGGCCCTGAGCGCTGAGGCCCAAGCACAAGTCTTCACTTCACATTACTTCTTTTTTTTTTTTTTAGACAGTCTCACTATGTCGCCCTCAGTAGAGTACTATGGAGTCACAGCTCACAGCAACCTCCAACTCTTGGGCTCAAGCAATTCTCTTGCCGTCCCCCTGCCTCTCACTGGCCAACTCCTTATCACCCTGACCCTTAGCTGGAATGTTACCTCCTCCAGGAAGCCTCCCCTGGCTCCTGTATTAGGTTAAGGGGTTAAACTTCCTTTGGGCTCTCATAGCTCCTGTGCTTCCCTGGGTCCCAACCTCAGTCACACTGGTCGTCACTCTCAATTGGCATATCTGCCTCCCCCTCACCCCCCATCAGTCTGTGAACTCCTCTGGGCCAGCTCTGGACTGTGAACTCCTCTGAGCCCAGAGGGATATTATTGCTAAATGAGCAGGTGAATGAATGAGTGGGAAGACCTGGCTCTAGCCCGTAGAGACCTGCAGAGGGAGGCGATGTGCCTGCAACAGGTAGTAACGGCGCAACGCAGTGCCTGGCCCCACAGGAGAGAGAGAGCCTGGAGAGTAGTAGTGGGGGGTTTGGGGCGCTTTTGGGAGGGGGGACCTCGCTTCCTGGACTCTTGAGAACAGAAGTCTTAGCAGCATCTAGGCCATGCCCCAGCCCATACCAAATCCTCTCTTTTGCAAGCCCAGCAGAGGCCCCCCAGATGCTACTTGCATACTCCTGGGGTGGGGAGCTCAGCACATGAGGCAGTCACCTCTAGATTTGGATGGTTTTCCCAGGAAAGATCTTCCTTATCTTGAGCTTAGCCCTGCTTCCCAGGAGTGTCCCTGACTGGTTCATCAGCCCCTGCCCCCGACAGACCACGTTTTAACCCCCGTCCCATGATGGTGGCACTGTGTGGATTTGGAGGTGCTCTCTAACCCCTGTCCCATGATGTGGGCACTGAGTGGATTTGGAGGTGCTCCCTAAGCCCTGTCCCATGATGTGGGCACTGCCTGGATTTGGAGGTGATCTCTAACCCCTGGCCCATGATGGGGGCACTGCCTGGATTTGGAGGTGCTCTCTAACCCCTGTCCCATGATG